TATAGATACAAAAATTCTCAACAAAATTCTAGCCAACAGAATTCAGCATAATACAGAAAGAAAAAAAAAAAATACACCACGACCAAGTAGGATTCATACCAGGTACACAAGGGTGGTTCAACATTAGAAAATCAATCCATGTAATCCACCACATAAATAAAAGAAAAAAAAATCACATGATCATCTCAATTGACATAGAAAAGGCATTCAACAAGGTCCAACACCCATTCCCGATAAAAACTCTCAATAAAATCTGTATAGAAGGGAAATTCCTCAACATAATAAAGGGCAACTATACAAAACGAATGGCCAACATCATTCTTAATGGAGAGAGACTGAAAACATTCCCCTTGAGAACAGGAACAAGACAAGGATATCCTTTATCACCACTCCTATTTAACATTGTGCTGGAAGTCTAGCTAGAGCAATAAAGCAAGAAAAAGAAAACTACTGGAACTAATAGGAAGATTCAGCAGAGTAGCAAGATACAACATAAACATACAAAAATCAGTTGGATACTACACACCAATAAAGAGAACTATGAAAAGCAAATCAGGAAAACAATACCACTTATAATAGCCCCTAAAAAAATAAAATACATAGGAATAAATCTAACCAGGGATGTAAAAGACAAAGAAAACTACAAAACACTACTGCAAGAAACCAAACAAGACCTACATAAATGAAAAAACATACCATAGTCATGGATAGGTAGACTCAACATTGTGAAAATGACAATTCTACCCAAAGCAATTTACAAATACAATGCAATCCTGATCCAAATACCAACAACATTCTTCAAAGAGATGGAAAAACTAATCATTAACTTTTCATGGAAAAGGAAGAGGCCCCAGATAAGTAAAGCACTACTGAAGAAGAATAAAATAGAAGGACTCACATTACCTGACCTCAGAACCTACTATACAGCTACAGCAGTCAGAACAGCCTGGTACTGGTACAACAACAGACACATTGACCCATGGAACAGAATTAAGAACCCAGATGTAAATCCATCCACCTATGGTCACCTGATCTTTGACAAGGGCCCAAAGCCCATCAAATGGGGAAAAGACAGTCCTTTTAACAATTTGGTGCTGGCAAAACTGGATGTCCATCTGCAAAAAATGAAACAGGACCCATACCTCATACCATACACAAAAACTAATTCAAAATCAATCAAAGACCTAAATGTAAAACCCAAAACTGTAAAGATTATGCAAGAAAAAACAGGATCAATACTAGAGGCCCTAATACATAGCATTAACAGGATACAAACCATAACTAACAACACACAAACTCCAGAAAATAAGCTAGATAACTGGGATCTTCTAAAAATTAAACACTTATGCTCATAAAACACTTCACCAAAAGAGTAAAATGAGAACCTATAGACTGGGAAACTATTTTTGGCTATTATGAATCTGACAAAGGTCTAATCTCTAAAATCTACAGGAAAATCCAACACCTCTAAAACAAAAAGATAAATAATCCAATTAAAAAATGAACAAAGGAAATGAACAGACACTTCACCAAAGAAGATATTCAAGCAGCTAACATACATGAAGAAATGCTCGCTATCACTAGCCATTAGAGAAATGCAAATCAAAACCACAATGAGACACCATCTCACCCCAGCATCACTGGCACGAATCAAAAACACAGAAAATACTAAATATTGGGGAGACTGGAACTCTTATGCACTGCTGGCGGGTATGTAAAATGGTACAACCATTTTGGAAAACGATATGGCGCTTCCTTCAAAAGCTAGAAATAGAAATACCATATGATCCAGCAATCCCACTCCAAGGAATATATCCTAGAGAAATAAAAGCCATCACATGAATAGACATACGCACACCCATGTTCACTGCAGCACTGTACACAACAGCAAAAAGATGGAAACAACCTAGATGCCCATCAACAGATGAATGGATAAACTAACTATGGTATATACACACAATGGAGTACTACACAACAATAAAGAACAATCATGAATCTGTGAAGCATCTCACAACATGGATGAATCTCTGGAGGGCATTATGCTGAGTGAAGTAAGTCAATCACAAAAGGACAAATATTGTATGAGACCACTACTATAAAAACTCATGAAAAGGTTTCCACATAAAAATAAACAATCTTTGATGGTTACGAGGGAGGGGAGGGGTGGGTATGGTAAAACACTAAATAGATAATAGATAAGTGGTAACTCTGGTAAAGGGTAAGACCGTACACAATACTGGGGAAGCCAGCACAACTTGTCCAAGACAAGGTCATGGAAGCTCCATAGACACATCCAAACTCCCTGAGGGACCGAATTACTGGGCTGAGGGCTGTGGGGACCATGGTCTTGGGGAACACTTAGCTCCATTGGCATAACATAGTTTATAAAGAAAATATTCTACATTCACTTTGGTGAATAGTGTCTGGGGTCTTAAAAGCCTGTGAGAGGTCATCTAAGATATTCCACTGGTCTCACCCCTTCAGGAGCAAGGAAAAATGAAGAAAACTAAAGACACAAGGGAAAGATTTGTCCAAAGGACTAATGGACCACAACTACCACAGCCTCCAACAGACTGAGTCCAGTACAACTAGATGGTACCCGGCTATCACCATTGACTGCTCTAATAGGGATCACAATAGAGGGTCCCGGACAGAGCTGGAGAAAAATGTAGAATAAAATTCTAACTCACAGAAAAAGACCAGAATTACTGGCCTGACAAAGACTGGAGAAATCCTGAGAGTATGGCCCCCGGACACCCTTTTAGCTCAGTCATGGAGTCACTCCTGAGGTTGACCCTTCAGCCAAAGATTAGACAGGCCCATAAAACAAAACGAGACTGAAAGGGCACACCAGCCCAGGGGCAAGGACTAGAAGGCAGGAGGGGACAGGAAAGGTGGTAATAAGGAACCCAAGGTCAAGAAGGGAGAGTGTTGACATGTTGTAGGGTTGTTAACCAATGTCATAAAACAGTATGTGTACTAACTGTTTAATCAGAAGCTAGTTTGTTCTTTAAACCTTCATCTAAAGTATGATTTTAAAAAAGCCAACTCAAATGCCCTGGCAATATTAAATTGTGATGTGGGACCTATTAGCTTGAGCTCTACAGGGCAATAAAAAATAAAAAATAAATAAATGAAAAACAACAAAAAATAATAGGAAGAACCATGTGCAGGTGGGAGAGGAGGTATATGGGAACTCTCTGTACTTGCTGCACAATTGTTTCTGTAAACCTAGAACTACTGTAAAATATAAAGTGCATTAAAAAAGTTTTAAACGAGAAAAGAATTATCTTGCTCTTTCTCTCTGCATGCATATAATACACATCCATATACATTTCTCTCAATTATTAACCTTAATAGAGGCAAATAGGTGTGGGTGAGCCAGAAAAATAAATACTCCTGCAATCACTACTATTTAGTTTTTGAATAGGTTTTTTCCACTCACATTTTATTACTGGTGTATCTGCTGCTCTGGAAAACTCATGGCCAAGAAAACAATGAAGCCACATGGAGAAGCTCTAACTCAGACATAGCTGTAATTCTTATTTCTCTATTACTCATTCAATGCTAGAAATAGATCGCTACTCTCAGACTGATGCAAGAAACAACCTAGCAAAGCAATCTTTCAAACATTTTTTTGGAAAAGTAGATGAAGTATTTCAGTTTCAAAGAGTTCTCATGCTGCTGAGCTGCAGATTATTTGCAAAGTAAGAATAAACAGGAATACCAGACATTATTTAGGAACTTAATTAAACAGAATAAAAACAACTAACAAGTCTTAGATAAGCCCAAGTTATATAATTTGATGTGGATACTATAAAATTGATTATTATGTATTCTATAACTAAACATTCAGAAGAGAAAAGCAAACTTTTAATAAATTTTGATTTATGTTTAAGACATTAATAAAAAGGGATAATTATCTGGTTTTGGCTTCACTGGTAGCATTAACACATTGAAACAATGGCTCCGTTAGTTATCTCCAGCAAGAAATGCATGCCTCGATGAACAGAAATTCACTTTCATTTAGTGACTTGTTTTCTTTTGTCAAACGCAGAAATTGTTTTTAAACCAGAGATAAATACAAAATAAAATAGAGAATGTGCTAATAGTTTGCAGTTAGCATGAACTAGTTTACAATTTTAACTCTAACATATAACCATGTGTTTATTTAGATGCTTTGAACTTAACGAACAAGTCACCAACTGCTCCCTTCCCTCTTACAGGCAACATGTTAGTATGTAAAAGGTAGATGGAGCTCTCCTAGCCATTTTTCCCTGCTGCCTGCATTTGGGTGAGCCCTCTCCTTAAGCTGCTTTAAAACCACAGCTGGGATACAGGGAACAAAACAGAAGCAGCTGAAGTTCAAAATGTGGGAAGTTTCCAAAACCTGGGGAAGGTCTCTCAAATGGCAGCCATGGAAGAAAGGCAAAGGCCAGTATCATTTGGTTATGTATCTTTAATTCAACTTAACTGAAAAATGAATAAAGGCAAGAGGGAAGTACTTCTTCCTATTCCTTCTCATTCAAGTTAGAAGAGATTTTTTGGTTTTCTCGTCCAGGTACCATATTGAATTTAAGCTTTTTCCACACCACCTGCCAGGTGGCAACTCAGTTAATGCCTGAAGACCTCCATGACATAAAAATCATCACCACATATCACCTTATATAAGATACATAGAGAACACATAGTGGGTACTTGTAAAATATCATTATCATGATCATCATTTCTCCAGAGACAAATGACAGAAGCTGCTAAAAACTATTCTGATCTTACTGTTAACTGGGCCAATTAGTAAAAGCTGAATGAAAACAATGCTTCAAAAATCTACAGGCCTTTTATACCTGAGAGAATTACATTGATGGGCACTCAGCAGATGTCACTTATTAACATTAACTGTAGTTCAAAGAAATGTTATCAGCGAAATTAAACAGCAGTGCCCATTTACATTTAATGAACAGTTGAAAATTAATTAACATTTCACAATATTATTTTATTACCTCATCTGATTCAAAATCGACCCCTTTAGCTATCTGGATCTGGGATGAGCGTTTGCTGGATGATATGCTCGAACTCCTGAGGCAAAAACACGGAAAACATAAAGAAAATGAATTTGTCAAAAGTGCCTACCACAGAATTTATCAAATTTAGCTAAGTTTTTAATCTAGTGGCAGTCATGAGTAAAAATAACTAATACAACTCCTTTCAACCAATCTGAGAAGCAGTAAGACTTAATGGTTAGGAAAAGGATTCTGGAGCTGAGATCTGAATTCCAGTTTTGCTATTTACTAGCTGTGCAGCCTTGGACAAGTTACTTAATCTCTCTGTGCCTCAATTTTCTCATCTGTAAAGGATAACAATAGTACCTACCTCATTAAAAAAAACAAACTCATTGCATCAAGTTGATTTCAACTTATAGTGACCTTACTTCGTTGGAGTTTTTAAAGATTAAGTGTGTTAATATACTTAAATATGCGATATAGTACCTAGTACATTTATTATTATAGTTCTTAGCATGTATGTTAAAATGTATCTATTACCACATTCCCCACTTCTGAAAACTATGGCAACATTAAAATATTTTTTATTTAAATCTCAGTTATGTTTCTGTAATAGGATAAAAGGATCTTAGGAAAAGGCTCACCATTCTCCACAGTTACCTCACTGCTTGTATTATCTGTGTTCAGTCCAATTTAAATAGCAAATATTTACTGAGTGTTTATTCTTTGCCAGGTACTATGATAGCCCTGGGAAATATGAGGGAACAAGAAAATCATGATTCCTACCCTTATGAAGCTTAACTATGGTAATGGAGCTCTTATGCCTCTACACATTTTTATTAATAAGAGTTTTAAATCATCTTAGATCAGAAGCCAGCAAACTATGTTCCCTGGGTCAAATCCAGTCTGTTTTATTACCATCTGTGAGCTAACAATGTTTTTCACATTTTGAAATGGTTGCATTTTAAATGGTTATATAAGTATTACATAACAGCCTGGATTTGATTTTGCTACTTGGTCTGCAAAATCTAAAATGTTTACTATCCAGCCCTTTAAGAAAAAGTGTGCTGACTCCTGTCTGAAATGAAAGCGTAACAGAGCAGTGTTTGTGAAATCTCAGCGAACAATTTTAACATTCTTTGGGATGTTATTATACTAAAAGAAATATGCCTGAAGGTCTTGTCAGGACAAATAAGTGTAGAGTAAAGGCGGTCTAGCAGCCCTGGTAGTGCAGTGGTTAAAGCACTTGGCTGCTAACTGAAAGGTTGCCAGTTCAAACCTACCAGCTCCTCTGTGGGAGAAAGAAGTGGCAGTCTGTTCCTTAAAAGATTTACAGTTTTGGAAACCCTAAAAACAGAGTTTTACTCTGTCCATGAGGATTGATGAGTTGGAATCAGCTTGATGGCAGTGGGTTTGGGTTTTTTTGGGGGGGTGGTAAAAGAGGTCTTAGGTCAGAAGGGGAGAGAAAAATCCACAGGTCCTTATGCACAAAAGTAAAAGGACAAGAGGACTTAACGAGCAAACTTGAAAAGCAACAAGGCTTCAGAGGCAGAAGACCGTGAATTTATCAATGGATCAGTCTGGGGGAGTCCCAATCTCTTTTATCTAACCTAAGCAAAGAATTGGTCAGCTGTTGACTTGTTTCTACCTGTGACAGAAAGAAACCATCAAGAGCATAAAGCCACAGTGCCAAAGCTGGCAAGTTAGGTTGCTGTGCTGTTGTTGGGGCTGGGATAGAGCAATAGGAGGGGGGTGAGAGTTGTAGGAAAAAAACACCCATTGCCATGTGACCCTGCTTTCTGATGCCTTCTCAGGAAAATAACCAACAGGGCCCAGAGACAAGCCAGGCAACTATGGTGGTCCCTGGCTTGTTCAATCATATCAACAGCCATAATCTGCATCAGAGGGCCCACAGACCTACAGAATCTCACCTGCGAGAAGTTCCCATCCTTAGAAATCAGTGGTGGGGAGGGGAAAGAAATGGCTACACTGCTGGATGCAATAAATAAACTTTTGTCCAGGATGGCAAAAAATGTTTAACTTGATTAGCTTCATGTGGATGGATCAAAAATAAAGAGGAGGTGGGTAGATTGAGTGCTAGGACTTATACATTTTCTCTACTTTTGTTCAGATATAATTTGGGGCCATAAATTAGAATTCCTGTCTGGAGATATCTGGCCAGTCAGTCAGCTGTACCACTTATTGTAAATGTAAGATACCATGTTAAATTGGCTTTATGCTGTGTCTGGCATAAAAGGTGCTCCAAAAATGTCAGCTCTCCCCACTGCAGGGCCTACTAGAATCCCCTCTTGATCCCTCCCCCCTACCTGGCCCTACAGAGCCTGGTCTTCCTTTCCTTTCCACCGTGAAGTGAGGATGGTGTTTGCCAACTCTCTCCTGGACAGCTCCTCTTATTCCCAATGTAACAAGGGCAGAGCGTGGAACAATTTATCCTGGAAAAGCAGGCTTTCTATCGTCCATCTGGCAAAGAGTTCTATGGCTTTAAGCTATTTTCCTTTTTAAGTTAACTAACAGGAAAATTAGTGCTTTTATACTTTGCTCATTGTTCTTCCTATTACTCTTATTCTATTTCCCCAGCTTGTTATTTATTTAATAAGGAGTTATATAACTATTTGTGAGGCAGTGACTTAGCACTTTACAAATATTAACTCATTTAAAGGCTCATAAGAATCCTATGAGGTAAATATTATCATCTCCATTTAAAAAATAAGGACACTGAGGCCCAGAGAAATCCAATAACTTGCTTAAGGTCCACCTCTAGTAAGTGGCAGAGCTTAAATGCTACAAACTATAAGTGAAAAAACCATAAACACTGTGTCACATACAGTATAAATTACTGTCATCTAGTCAGTCATCAGAAACACACATCTGCCAAGAGTGATTTCAGATTTGCTTCTCAAATGTCAATTTCTAAATAGCCTCTCATAATTTAAATGATTTTTACTCCTTGAACATAGCTTAAGAACTTCATCTATTTTCTTAAGAAGCAGCAGCAGGGATGAATTCTGGAACAGAATGCCTGGCGTATGTAACCACCTGAGTGACCTTAGGTAAGTTACTTAGCCTATTTGTGCTTCACTTTCTTCATATGTACAATACAGATAATAAAGTCATAACTGTATCTACCTCCTAAGGTGGTTGTGGGCATCAAATGAGCTCACAGCAGCACCTGACACAGAGGAAGTGCTGAACAACTGCTATTTATTATTATCATTACTTCATAACTAAGTAAGAAGTCAACACATATTTTGCCTACTGAAAAACAGACAATTCAAAAGTATAGCAAAATCAAGTTTTTCTTTGATGCCTTTAAATACATGTCAACATGCCAAAATAGTACTTCCCTTAGTTCCAATGATGAAAAAATTATTGTTGCTCTTGGCTGCCATCAAGTCAGCCCTGGACTCATGGAGCCCCCCCACACAATGGAACGAAATTCTGCCTGGTCTTGTGCCATCCCCATGATCAGCTGCAGATCGGACCATTGTGATCCATAGGATTTTCACTGCCTGATTTTCACAAGTACCGTATTTTTACGCATATAATGCACACCTTCTACAGTTGTTTGCCAAACACGCCCTTCTCTCCCCTGCCACAAGGTATTTTTGTAAGTACACTATGCTAATTTTTTTTACAGCAACATGTAAAAAAATTGGCATGGTGGCGCTTACAAATAATTGGGCGTGGTTGGCAAACAAACATAGAAAAGTGCACATTATTTGCATAATACAGTATATCACCAGGTCTTTCTTCCTAGTCCATCTCAGTCTGGAAGCTCCACTGATACCTGCTCAGCATCACTGCAATAAGCAAGTCATCACAGACAGACGAGCAGTGGCTGCCCATGACATGGACTGGCCAGATATCAAACCTGGGTCTCCTGCATGGAAGGTGAGAATTCTGCCACTGAACCATCAATAAAAAAATAAGGCCCCCATATTAGCAAAATTCCCCTATTCTGCTCAACTACTGATCTACTACTGAAAAAACAAAACAGAAAGCTGGGCCTGATTATATGTGTATGTTTTAATTTACAAAGGCAAGAACAACTGAACAAGTATTTTGAAAGAGATTTTTCCTTCAATGCCTGAGATATCCCAATATTCTTCCAGTAAATCTCTTCCCTGAAGTAAATTTCAGGTGGGTTTCCATCAACTGGAACCAAAGGAGTCTCATTTAATACATTTAACTTAGCTTGGGGAATTCAAGTAAACCTTCATAGGAGCTAAAAGAACTCTCTCGACTGCCTACCACAAACATATGAACCAACCTGAGCTATGCCATCTGGTATTTTTTATTCCTTCTAAAAAGGCCAGAATTGGCATCTGCAACTCTATACTTATCTGAATTTTCCTCATGTCTCTCTCGTTGCTTCTACTTCTACTTTACCTAAGTGCTAAAAGCTGAAACTCCAGGATTAGAACATGAGCTTTCGTCTCTCTCAGTTTTCTCTTTCAAGGTGATCCCAACCATTTCAACAGCTTTAAATACCATCTATATGCTGTTCAGAAGTAAATTTAGGTACTAGTCCAAACCTCTCATTTGAGTTCTGGAATCATGTATCCAACTGCCCATTATGACCATTATGGAAATATCCCCTCCTGAAAATTTCACAGGCATCTCAAACTTTACATGTTTAATTTAGACCTTTAATTCCTTACTGTTTCTTTCTTCTTTTTTGGACCTTGAGCACTAAGTGCTCAAGCAGTTAACCTGGAAATTAACCATGCTTTCTCACTTTCCCTCACTCCAAACATTCCATCTACCCCAAGTTCTGCCATGGCTACTTCCAAAATGTATCCTGAAACCATCTATTCTCTCCATTTCCGCCACCACCATTCTAGTGCAAGCCCCCATCATTTCTCTTACCTGGACTATCTACAATAACCTCCTCTCTGGTCGGCCTGTTTCAACTCTTGTCCTCCCACAACCACAAGGATCCTTTATAAATGTGAATCAGATCATGTATTCCTCTCTTGAAATCCTTTAGTGACTTCCCACTGCATTTATAATAAAGTCCAAAATCCTTACCACACTCACTTGTTCCTGGCTCATGATTTACCCCTGGTATCTAGTCTCCAACCTCACCTCACACCACCTCTTTCTGCCACGCTTTAGCCACCTTAGTTAGCTCCTAGATTACACTGAGCTTGTTTCTTCCTCAAGAGTCTGTTCATATGCTTTTCCCTCTGCTTTTTGCAAGGCCATATCTCTCTTATTCTTAAAATTTCAGCTTAAGTGTAACCTCCTCAGAGGCTTTTCCTGATGAAGTACATATCAGCTCCCGCTGACATTACTGTTTATTATTGCACCTTGTTCATTTCCATCAAAGCATTCTTACACATCTGTTGATCTTCACCTCAAATGTTACCTTCTTTGTGAAATCTTCAGTGACCTTTCCCAGAAAGTCATTGGCACTTCTGTTAGACTTCATTAAATCAGTTGCTGTCCAGTCAGTTCATTTCTGTCTTATGGTAACCTCACGTGTGTCAGAGTAGAACTGTGCTCCATAGGATTTCTAATGGCTGATTTTCAGAAGTAGATTGCCAGGCCCTTCTTCTGAGATGCCTCTGAGTGTACTTGAACCTCAATTATTTGCACCACCCAAGGACTCCATACATTTCATTATACTTGAATAAAACATCTATCTTGGTAGACTGTAGTGCCCTGTAATTAGCATATCAGTAAAATGTAAATTCCTTGAAGGAAGGGACATTTCTTTCATCTTTCTATCCCCAGCACCTAGCATAATATTTAACTGAATAAATAAGTAGATGTGGAACTATATCAATTTTTCAAACACAGATTCTTAATTCACGTAAATCACATATTCTCAATGGGGTCAATATCACCCTAAGGGATGAAAATTGGTTCTTGGGGGAGGTGGAAAATCTTATATATCAAAATAGTTTTTGGCTTCCCAAGTGCATCTCTACCTGACAAAAATTTCATTATTTACTATTTAATTTCTTTCATAAGGGAGAAATTAAATTTATCTTATTTTAATTAATTTAAATCAAATTTAATTTTTCTCCTTAGATAATGAAAGAAGATTGAGATCATAAAAAAATGTTTGAGAAACATCAATGTACAGTTTCTTCCTCAATCTCACCCTTATTTCTAAAACTCTTGCTCATGTCATTAGTCTCAGCTGGGATCACCATTCTCCACTCCAATGACCCAAATAATGCCTATCTTTAAAGCCCCAGGTAAATTTTATTTCCTTTGTGAAGCTTTTTCCTCTACTACTTTTTCCCACACTCCTTGCTCCTTTTTCTGAGTGCCTATAAGCACTCATACATAATCTGTACCATAAAATTTCACACATAATTATGTACTGACTCAATCATCGTTTAATAGATTCAAATGCATTCTTAATCTCTCTTTCCACTACAATTCAAGTTGTCTGAAGGCAGTAACCATATTAGAACATTTGTTTATGTCCCCCATCAATGCTAACAAGAAAACAAGCATACAAACAAGGATGTTGACTCTTAAGTATAAATTTTCATTAGCTGACTCTTAGTTAAGCAGTATCTGCCTGAAGTGTTAACACACAGAAGAAAATGGCAATAGTAAACCAAGTCAAACCTTGTAGTAACAGACAAACAACAAAGAAAGAAAAAAGGGACAGGAAACGTATATAAGGGCTCTGAAGGCAGAATAAGTCTATGTGATCTTTCTAATTTTCAGCACAGCACCATGTGTAACTAAGTATACAAAAATATGCTAATGAAGAATAGCTGAAATCAAATGTTATCAAAATATAAAACTATTTTCTGTTAATTAAGGAGAACACAGCCCTCTATCAAGAAAATCACAGGGTAATAAGACAAAAGGAAACAAATTATAGGTTATTTAAATTTTCAGTAAAGACACTTATAATAATGCTGTATCAACTCTATGGAATAGCTCTTGGTCTATTTTTTTTTTTGTACATTTCTCCAGATACTTTATTAGTTGAAAATAAATCTGTTAAATTTCTATGGCATAGAAAAATGTGTAGCTGTAGAATTCTCTATCATTTTTAAAGTTTTCAGATGCTTCTTTTTGCAGGAAAACACTGTACCTACCTTGGATCTGTTTTTGAAGAGGTAGGAAAAATGTCTTCTTCCACATCTGACTCATCTACCTCAATTATCTAGGGGAAAAGACAAAACAGTAGTTTCGGTGGGACTTAAATCATCTCAATAAAAATGATTAACAGATCTTAAAGTGCTTTTTAAAAACATACAAAAAAGCCACAAGGAGGCAGAAGCCATGTAAGCAGCATCTTCTAAAACCAAAGCTCAGCCCTGCCCCCCTCCCCTGCAATGTCATCTTCATTCACAACTGGTCTTCTAACCTATAGGTCTTAGCGCACTTCTCTCCTGGCTATCACAGAAGCCTAGGTATATAAAGTAACATCCATCGGTAAATGGCTTCCAAGGCTCATGTGCAGACAGCGCCCTGTGGTTTTCTTCTTGGATCCTGATGTGAAGTTAGACCATCAATGTTCAGCCTCCAATTTTAAATGAGGTATAAGACCGCGTTGGAAGTACTGTATATTTGTATTTCTGTTGCATTTGTCCCTGTTAAATATCATTTTTTAGTTTTAAGTTCAAATGAAGATATTTGATTCTTGATGCTGTCATGCAAATCCGACCTATTCCTCTATATTTTGTTTCTCCTGATGCTTGATAAACACACTGGCTATGTCTTCATCTATTGATAAAAAGGGCAGATAAGGATGAACTCAAGGACAGAATACTGAAAAAGAACACCCAAGAACTCCCCTCTAGGCTAACACTGAATGATCAATCAAGTCATTAAATGCAATTGTTCAAACATCTATGTATCCAGACAATATTTCTATATCTTGTACATAAATTATAAGGAGATTGTCTTATATGCCTTGAAGGGATCAGATGCATTCAACATCCTCTTGATCTACCACTGTGCAATCTCAATCAGAAAATGGAAAGAAAATGTCAGTTTGGCATGACTTGGCTCTTTCTGAACTCATGTTCTTGCCTTACGATAGAAAAATGTAAAAGGGAAGCTACTTTGTGGACATGATAATAACTTTGTTTTCAGATATGTTCATCTTGAAGCAATAGCTGGACAACAGTTGATTGCAAATAATTAAATGGAGCTAAGGATAAAAGTTAGCACTGGTATGCTCAATATAAGCAAGATTTAAAAAAAAGAAAAATGAAGTTAAGAGAGATAAAAGAACAAGACTAGAATCAGGACAGAGAAGATTTCAACACATCTGTTGATTATCAGCATTCAACTGTGTCAAATGCTTAAGAGAATCTATAAGAATGAAATATGAGAAAAGGCTACTGGAGGAAGTATGATATAGAGCAGTGGTTCCCAACAGGGAGCCATTTTATACCCCTGCTCCACTCTGGGGACATTTCGCAAGATCTGGAGACAGTTTTGATTGTCATGACTAGAGGAAGGGTTGCTATTGGCATCTAGTGGGTACAGGCCAAGGATGCTGCTTAACATTCTACAATGCCCAGGACTGACCCCACAACAAAGAACTGTCAGATCCAAAATGTCAATAGTGCCGCTACTGAGAAACCCTGATCAAGATGGAAGAGTACTGGCTCGGGAGTTAAATACATGGGTTTTGAGAGCGAGGTAATGGGAGAGTCAAGCCCATACTGGACTCTGCTTGGAATTCAAAAGAGGAGCAGAAGGTTTTTAAAATAAGGCTCTAACTTAAACCTATAGTTAAGAACATAGACATCCTTAGAGTCTCATCCTTCAATGTGTCTCAAGTATAAGCTATTTAGGCACAGGCTAGAGTATCATGATAGTGTAAGTGGCAAAAGGAATTCAGATATAAATAAAACCTCTATATGCACTGAACTCACTTTCAATATTAGTATTCCATGCATGGACCCTCTTGGTTCAAGACTGTTATCCATAAAAATATTCATACATTTATGGATTTCCAATGATATGACACATTATTTAAAGCAAAACAAAAACAAAGACACAAATCCTAGAAGCCCTCAGGTCTAAATGATAAACAGGGTTCTCTTCAGCTTTAATATTCTACACTTTTTCTTCTTTTATTTATTTTGTAGATCAAAGAATTAATTCATAATGAAGGAAACAAACTATTAAAACACAAGAATAAACTTTTTTTCCCCTTACCTCTGAGTAATTCTTAGTAGCAGTACTTCGGGAGGGCTGTTGTTTTGTAGATTTAAAGGCTAGGATAAAAAAGACGAAACACCTATTAGGTTATTCTTAAAATAACTTAAAATTTGCATATTTCTTTACCTGAAGATTTTCTAAGTCCTCTCTGCAAACACCCATGATGATTAATTATAAAATCATCTACATTTTTTAAAATCTGGAGGTAGGTGGAATTATTTCTTCAAATAACTCAATGCCTATCTGCCGGTCTCATATGATTTCCCAGCTTATTCGAATATAGTTACAAGCAGTGTTCATAAATACACCCATGCTAAAAAATATTTTGCAGAAAAATACTTAAAGGATAAAGTCTGATCACCTAACTGACTGAATTCCAAATATACTGATGATAAATCTCAAATGGGCTTCATTCATGAAACCTATCCAAAAAGAACCAGCCCTAACTTCTTCCTACTCCGCCGTCTGTGAATCCTTTCCCTGTGTCTATATTAGGAGCCATGTGGTTCCAGTAGGAACTTCCTTATCTCCTCTACCCTGTTAGCCATATTCAACACCAGAAGGGGGATGCACCAAAAGGGGAATTCCAGAAAACAGCATACCTTTTATTCCATTAGAAAACTTACCTTGGAATCCTTAACTTTTTTAGCTTTATAAACTTGGCTAGAAGCTTGAAGCTTAGCTCTTTATCTTTCCCCTTCTTTTCCCTTGAGAATACATAATAGAATAAATCTCAAACAATTACAGGTTTATTTTTGCCTAAGCCTTCCCAGTTTGCTAATAGAGTAAAACCTGCGAAAGCTGGAACCTGTGTAAGACAGAAACCTGTCAGAGAAGGAAAACACAAATATTTTCCACTAAAACAAGCAACAGAAAAGTGGTAAGACTGCACCCTGTCAAAGGTGGAAAACTTGCAAGGCCCAGAAAAACAAGGTAGCCCCATCAAGTTCCAGTTCTCCCAGGTTTTATGGTATATAAAAATGTCTCCCCCAAGACAACCCCCAAATCAAGCAGGGCAAGGAGAGAAAGAAAGACAGAAACTTGAAAAAGCTGAACACTCAAAATATCCTGCAAAGCCAAAAAATTTCCTAGTCAGAAAAACTCAGGAATATTTCTAGCTAGACCTTGTTTTATAAATTACTCATTCTTCCTAGTCCAGGTTCTATCCCGGCTCACTGATGTCTACCTGAAAAGGGGAACGAAAGGCAGGAGCAGAGTGCTCAGCCCTACTCAGTTACTGTCCTCACATCCTACTCTACTCAAAAGGCTAAATGGGGCAACTGAATAAAAAAGCCAGGGACCATGATGCTTCCAAGGAATATTTCTGCTCAATATTTATTCATTAAAGGACTCTTCAAACTCTGAGATGCATGAAAACAAGAACACTCCTTTCTTATAGCAAAAGATGAATAAATGTTTGTGAAATAAATTAACTTTATCAGAAAAATAAGCACTGAGTTTTGTTACGAAGGCAATATAATATGGTGGTGAAGAGCTCTGGTTTTGGAGTGAAACTCATTGACTTACTAGCTGGGTGACAATTGGCTAAGTTCCCTGGCGTCCTTAAGCCTCAATTTCCTCACTTGCAAAATAATGTTAATACTTTATGCAGAAAACTGTTCAAAGGATAAAAATAGGTAGTTTGTGTAAACTGCATTGGAAGTGCCTAGCAGAGAGTAAGCCTTCCAATAAATGCAGCTATTATAAGTTGCAGTGAGGTAGCCATGATGGTAAATGAACATAGAAGCAGTGGCTTAAGAGGTACCGTTTATCCGCTTGTTCACAGTGATTTTCAGACCAACTTCAATGGAAAAATCTGGGTTGTCAACTTTGTTATTTACAAGCGCCATGGGCTAAAAGTGTAATTTCTACCTTTCCCAATAAAATTCCAGTACAATAACCTTCATACTCCATGAAGCTTGTATAATAAAATTTGATCTTTATCTTTTCATTCTTTATTTATAATAGGAATCTAGATGTTATAATTTTAAAGTTGCTTTTATCCCAGAGTTATGGCAAGTATAGTGAAGACCCCATCGTTATTTTGTCAGACTTATAAAACCCTAATTTTAACCTGATAAATGATGTTTTACACATTCATATTAAAAAATCAGTTTCATTTATCAAAAAGGAGTTCAATATTAGTGGTAATCAGATATATTAAAGCCAATAAATCAAATCAATTTTTTAAAAAAGACAAATTTAGGCCAAAGAGTTATAAAATATCTATATTCATAAATTTATTGAAAACACTGCAATACTGCCACTAATACAAACAGCAGCAATCATCTGTTGAGTTCTTATTAGCTGCTCTGCTCAGTACTACATATACATAGGCTCATTTAATATTTATAACTACTTTATATCCCCAATTTTATAGCTAAGGTTTATAGATTAACAAGTTTACACTTGCTGAGGTCTTAACGTGTAGACACTGTGCCACGTACTTCACACGCAATTTTTCATTAATCCTCAAAATAATCCAATGAGATATATGTAATCATTACCCCATCTTACAGATGAGGACACTGGGGCTTAGAGACAGAAAGCTTAAGCAAACTGCCGCGGGACACGTAGCTAGTGCATCCAGGTGTCAGAATGCAAACCAAGGTCTTTCTGACCTTAGAACCATTCTCTTAACCTTAGTGCTATACAGTCTGTAAGTGTTATTCAGTCATTCTCAGCATTTACTCTGTGCCAGGCCCTTCACACAACGATGAATAAGAATGATGCAGATCCTGTTCTCCCAGCACCTACAGTGCAACAGCAGTGAGCTGCCAAGTGAAGGGCTGGCATGCTAAACCAGGTCTGACCCCAGAGTTCTAGTTCTTAACCACAATTCTAGGCTACAAAAGGTTTCACAACCAAATTTTGGCCTGAAACATAGTTCAGGAAATCCTAAGTTTTGTATTGATATGGTTGACTTTCTTTTTTTTTCCCCAGTTGCTGTCCAGTCAACTCCGACTCATGGTGAACCCGTGTGTCATAGTAGAACTGTGGTACATAGGATTTTCAATGGCTGGTTTTTTGAAAGCAGATCACCAAGCCTTTCTTCTCAGTTGGTTTACTTACATAGCCTCTTTTCACAGATGAATATTATTACTTACAAAAATGATCAGTCATGCCAACTTGTGAAATTTTTTAAGCACCATAACTGGTCTGTTGCCTCTCTACACAAATAATACCTTTATATCACATTATCAGTGGGTAACACGGCAGCAGTCACTAAGAAATTTCTTTGAAAATTTCATTGGCATAGTGGTTTTGAAAGGGGCTGATGTTAGAAAGTGAAAAATGCTCATAAAAACCCCTATGTGATACAGAGTCCTAGATATAAAGCAGGCAGCCACATGTGAGTTTTAAACAAAGAAATTAAGGATTAAACCTCTGTTTCTGTTCATCACAGGCTAGGTTATTCAGGCAAATACTCCTGCTAAAAACAACCCAAACTGCTATATCAGACATTAAAAAAAAAAAAAAAAAATTCTTAAGAGCACTAAAGAGCTGGTAACACAGTAAGCAATTAGCCGGCCAAAACTGATGAAAAATTAGAACTCAGGCAAACAGAGTCCTTTAACCAGAGAACATTTGACTATCTGGGCAAATGTTATAAGACTGGTTTTGACAGTCCTGTAGCAAGAAGGAGAGAGAAACCATAGTCCAGGGCCTCCCTAGGGTAGAACTTAATGCATTTCCTCCCTCCCTGAAGCTGGGACCCCAGGAGTTAAGGACAGTAGAGGTAAACGAACTTTACATAGACATATCATCTGTTGGCTTTCCCCACCACTACTCAAATTGTTATTTTAAAAGATTTCAAGCCTTTAGAAAAGTCTAAAGAATGGCACAATTAATGTTCAAACACTCTTTCTCTAAATCTAGCAATTGTTAACAACTTGCCACATTTGCTTTCTCTTTGTCTTTAAATACCCTTTTCCTGAACAAATTAAAAGTAAGCTGCAGATGTGATGACATGTCACCCCAACTTTAACGTGTATCAGCCTGGATTCTTTACAAAACACCATGCTGCGCCCCTCCTTCCTCCCTCCCTCTCTCTTTTTTTCTTATCTCTCTCTTCCTTTCTTTCTTTCTTCTTTGCTTTTACCTTAGACCTGCCAAGCATAGAAAAGCATCTTTCTGGATGCCATTTCCCGAATGTCAACAAAGGCAATATGTTTCTGAAGCCAAAAGATCAGGATTTCAGTCGGCTCTCCTCAAGTACTGAATAATCTTTGAGTAAAAATACAGCTACAGAAACTTTGGTAAGAAGGTATCTTAAAGAGTCTGAATCCTTTCTCCAATGTCAGCTGTCATCCAATAAATGTTGAAAACTCCCTATGATGGAGTGCCAACTCACTTCCTCCCTGGGCAGCTTATTCCATCTTTACATTAATTAGAAAGTTTATTCTATACAATGCAAAGACCCTCTACTGAGAACCAGTAGCTAGGTTTCTAATTGTTCTTGCTCTGAAAACTAGTGGTTAACTACTGGTTCTGGAGTTCAGAGAATATGGGACTAATCCAAGCTCTACTACTTACTAGCTGTGGAACCTTGGGTAAGTTACCTAACTTCTCAAAGCCTCCGTTTCCTTCTCTGTAAAACAAGGTCAATAACAGTATCTACCTCAAAGAGCTGTTGAGAGGCACACAGTAACTGCTTCATAAATATTAGCTATTATTAGTATTATTAGTGGTATCATTAACCTTGGGCAAGTTGCTTAGATCAGTTTCCTCATCTGTAAAATGAGGAAGTTGGCGAAATTCCTCTCAAGTCTCCAAGGTCCATTTTATCAGATAATAAATTAGCATTCTTCTAGCTTTACCCATTCATCCTCACAGGGCCAAGAGTTCTCAATCTGAAGCCCATGAATAGGCTTCATAGTGATTCCTAAATCCTTTGAAACTGAGTCCAAATTGCATATACTTGGGGATAGGAGACACAGCTTTCCTTAGATTCTTAAAGAGAATCTATGACCCTAAATAGATTGTAAACCACTGCCTTTATACAAATCAAAGCTAGTCCATCTTTCACGCTATAGAACTTAAACTACAGAATGACCTGAATCTTTCCCAGGTTAGATATCCCAAATTCCTTCCACCATTTTGTATATTGTTTCTCTTCTGAATGATCACATATCGTTGGTATCCTTCTTGAAATACAGTTCCAAAGATGAGCATAGTATTCTTGGCATGACAGATCCAATTCGGCAGAGATAAGAGAACTCCTTTGTGGTAGAGACACAGTATTTCTATTAAAACAGCTTAAGACGTCATTAGATTTGGACAGTTATGCTGACATCTTACTGACCTAAGTCTTTTTTACTTGGGTTGCTGCTAAAGTCACATACCTCTTAATTTAATACAGTTCACATGAGTTCTCTGTACTAATAGTAGAGGAAAGCAGCATCAAGAAAGAAAATAAACAATACTTTAAGAGGCAGTTCCTTCTCTTTCTCTCTTGGTCATTGTTGGTAACCTGATCAATTGCCTCACTTTTCTATAACTTAGTGATCCATTTGTAAAAGGGAAATCACAATCAAATTTGTCTAAAGTAAGGTATTATAAAAAGCAATTTTTAAGGCTCACCCTCTTCAACAGCTTTGATGAATGGCAAAGACATTTTTTCAGGATAAATTATCCTGTGAACCTAATAGCCCTTTCAATTCCACAAGGATGACAGCACAACCAATGAGGTTTGTAAATGGGGATTTCCTAGGTCTTCCTGGGTTGGAAAATTACCAATAACTGCTAGATAATCACCAGCAACCTGTACTCACCATCTATAATAGACATATTTCTAAACGATGTTGATGCAGCAGCCTTTGAACCTCTGCCTCGAGAAGAAGTCACCAGACCAGTGCCTAACGTTAGAATAATGAGCACAATCAATATACAATTCCATAAAGAGCTAAGGATTTTGGTTTTTTTAAAATTAAAAACAACAAAATAAAATTTAAATAGAGTTACATCAAAACACAGTTTAGTTGTAAAAAGCCAAAGATATATATAAGAAGAAACATCTAGAGTCTGAACCAATCAATTTTCAGAGATGATTCTTAGGCCACATTTGTTTCAATTAAAATCTAAGGGAAAAAGTTTGTAAATGTAAGGATAATGAAAATAATTGTCTCTAGAAGATAAGGATTTCTCTCCCTAGAGATTTTTAACTAAATCAGCATCCACTTTACCAGCTTATAACTCCTATGGATAAATATTATTAAAACTGATCTTAAAATACTCCTAGGGATGGATTTATATAATACATTAAGAAGTCACTAGATTCTATTATTTGGACTATTCAATGACAAGAAGTGTCACATTAAATACATTAATGGAAATTAATGCTAATGATTGCTTTTAGAAATCAGATTGTTTGGGGATAGTTTTTCTTTTTAAAGAAATTTTATCAGGAGCACTTTTAAGCATGTGGGCACTTGTAACTTATGACAGTAACAAAAATAATAATTATGATCGAGGTTTTCTTCCTGCTGTCAATGTCCATTAGCTAGCCATTTTCCTTGACAGCTCATATGGGCCTCACTACTACTTTGGACATGTGAGATAAATATGACATTAAATGTACCAAAAGGTGAGAAACAGAGTGAAGTTCTTTAAAAAAATACTTGTTAAACCCTGGGTGGCACAAACAGTTAAGTGCTGGACTACTAACCGAAATATTGGAGGTTCAAACCCACCTAGAGGTGCTTCGGAAGAAAGGCCTGGTGATCTGCTTCTGAAAGGTCACAGCCTTGAAAACCCTACAGAGTAGTTCTACTCTGCACACTAGGGATCACCATGAGTCATGATCAACTCAAGGGCAACTAACTACAACAACAATAATAAAAACACTATGTGCAGGCTGCCATTCATAATTTAAGTAAAAGGTATGTGTCACAACTGCATTAAAGACTGACTTTATTTGGAAGCTCCACAGACCACATCCAAACTCCCTGAGGGACTGAATTGCTGGGTGAAGGGCTGTGGAGACCATGGTCTCGGAGAACATCTAGCTCAACTGGCATAACACAGTTTATAAAGAAAATGTTCTACCTTCTACCTTGGTGAATAGCGTCTGGGGTCTTAAAAGGCTGTAGGCAGCCATCTAAGATACTCCACTGGTCTTACCCCTTCGGGAGCAAAGGAGAAGAAAATAAGATATAGGGGAAAGACTAGTCCAAAGGACTAATGGACCACAACCACCACAGCCTCCAACGGACTGAGTCCAGTACAACTAGATGGCGCCCGGCTACCACCACTGACTGCTCTGACAGGGATCACAATAGAGGTCCCGGATAGAGCTGGAGAAAAATGCAGAACAAAATTCTAACCCACAAAAAAAGACTAGACTTACTGGCCTGACAGAGACTTGAGAAACCCCGAGCGTATGGCCCCCGGACACCCTTCTAGCTCTGTAATGAAGTCACACCTGATGTTCACCGTTCAGCCAAAGACTAGACAGGCCCATAAAACAAAACGAGACTAATGGGGTACAACAGTCCAGGGACAAGGACTAGAAGGCAGAAGGGGACAGGAAAGCTGATAACAGGGAACCCAAGGTTGAGAAGGGACAGTGTTGACATGTCATGGGGTTGTTAACCATTGTCATAAAACAATGTGTACTATTTAATGAGAAACTATTTGTTCTGTAAATCTTCATCTAAAGTACAATAAAAAAAAGACTGACCTTACGTACTGCAAAAATAAACTTTTAAAAGATTTTGTTTTAGAAATTAGAATTCATAACTCAATTCTGACAATAGGAAGGCAATTCTATATTTCCCACTCAACTGCAAAGTCTAAATATGTGCAAAAGGTTACATTCATTGCTAACCTCTTCCTCTCTGAGACCCTCCTCTCGAGGTGGAATTCTGCCCTCTTCCTCCTCTACCACGGCCTCTTCCTTTGCTGGCTGCTGCTGAGATGCTATCATCAGAGTCGTCAGCCATCTCTTCTGTCAAATCCACACTCATGAAGTCATCAGCACTAAAGGCAGAAGCAAAGTCCTCTAACTGAGATCTGTGGGCTCTGGCCCTATTCATAGCCTGAGAGGGATAACAAGAAAGTATAGATTAGTAGGTAACACAGCATCCTAAAAATCATTCAACTACTCATTCAGACAAAAATTTAATAATGCTAAACTGCCTGTTGTTGTTGTTGTTAGGTGCCATCAAGTAGGTTCCGATTCATGAAAACCCCACATACAACAGAATGAAACACTGCCCGGTCCTGGGTCATCCTCACAATCGTTGTTATGCTTGAGCCCATTGTTGCAACCACTGTGTCAATCCATCTCACTGAGGGTCTTCCCCTTTTTCGCTGACTCTCTACTTTACCAAATATGATGTCCTTGTCCAGGGACTGATCCCTCCTGATAACACCTCCAAAGTACATGAGACAAAGTCTTGCCATCCTTGCTGCTAAGGAGCATTTTGGCTGTACTTCTTCCAAGACAGATTTGTTCATTCTTCTGGCAGTCCATGGTATATTCAATACTCTTGGCCAACACCATATTTCAAATGCATCAACTCTTCTTCAGTCTTCCTTATTCACTGTCCAGCTTTCACATGCATATGAGGTGACTGAAAATACCACGGCTTGGGTCAGGTGCACCTTAGTCCTAAAAGTGACATCTTTGCTTTTTAACACTTTAAAGAGATCTTTTGCAGCAGATTTGCCCAATGCAATGCATCGTTTGATTTCCTGACTGCTGCTTCCATGGGTGTAGATTGTGGATCCCAAGTAAAATGAAATCTTTGACAACTTCAATCTTTTCTCCATCTATCATGATATTGCTTACTTGTCCAATTGTGAGGATTTTTTTCTTTATGTTGAGGTGTAATCCATACTGAAGGCCGCAGTATTTGATCTTCATCATTAAGTGCTTCAAGTTCTCTTTGCTTTCAGCAAGCAAGGTTGTGTCATCTGCATATCGCAGGTTCTTAATGAATCTTCCTCCAATCCTGATACTGTATTCTTCTTCACATAGTCCAGCTTTTCAGATTATTTGCTCAGCATACAGACTGAATAAGTACGGTGAAAGATACAACCCTGACGCACACCTTTCCTGATTGTCAGCCATGCAGTATCCCCTTGTTCTGTTCAAATGACTGCCTCTTGGTCTTTCTACAGGTTCCTCATGAAGACAATTAAGTGTTCCGGAATTCCCATTCTTTGCAATATTATCCATAATTTGTTATAATCCACACAGTCAAATGCCTTTGCATAGTCAATAGAACACAGAAAAACATCTTCCTGGTATCCTCTACTTTCAGCCAACAACCATCTGACATCAGCAATGATATCCCTGGCTCCACAACCTCTTCTTAATCTGGCTTGAGTTTCTGGTAGTTCCCTGTCAATGTACTGCTGCAGCCATTTTTGAATTATCTTCAGCAAAATTTTACTTGCATGTGGTATTAATGATACTGTTCGATAATTTCTGCATTCTGCTGGATCACCTTTCTTTGGAATAGGCACAAATACAAATCTCTTCCTGTTGGTTGGCCAGGTAACTGTCTATTAAGTTTCTTGGCATAGATGAGTGAGCTCTTCCAGCAATGCATCTGTTCGTGGAAGCATCTCCGTTAGTATTCCATCAATTCCTGGAGCCTTGTTTCTCACCAATGCCTTCAGTGCAGCTTGGACTTCTTCCTTCAGTACCATTGGTTCTTGATCATATGCTACCTCCTGAAATGGCTGACGCCGGCCGATTCTTTTTGGTACGGCGACTCTGTGTGTACTTTCCATCACCTTTTGATGTTCCTTGCATCGTTCAATATTTTGCCCATAGAATCCTTCAATATTGCAATTCGAGGCTTGAATGTTTGCTTCCATTCTTTCAGCTTCAGAAATGCTGAGTGTGTTCCTCCCTTTTGGTTTTCTAACTCCAGGTCTTTGCACATTTCAGAGTAATACTTTGTCTTCTTGAGTGACCCTTAGAAATGTTCTGTTCAGCTTTTTTTCTTCATCATTTCTTCCATTTGCTTTAGCTACTCTACGTTCAACAGCAAGTTTCAAAGTATCATCTGGAACATATTTTGGTCTTTTCTTTCTTTCCTGTCTTTTTAATGACCTCTTGCGTTCTTCATGTATGATGTCCTTGATGTCATCCCACAACTTGTCTGGCCTTCAGTCGTTAGCGTTCAATGCATCAAATCTATTCTTGAGATGGACTCTAAATTCAGGTGGGATATACTCAAGGTCTTACTTTGGCTCTCTTCATTTGGAAGAGTTCAGAGGAAAAGAAAATGTAAATTGAGAGTCCTCATCCCTTAAACAGGGGCTTTTCCTTTTTAGTATCTCAGATACTGACTTTTACTAAGGAGTGTGCTTAAAACGAGGCAAAAACTATTATTTAAAGGGAAGGGGGAGCTCCTATTAATTCCTTCTTATTATAGCAGAGAAAATAGTGGAATTTGTCAAAGTTAAGTTGAGGGATGTGCTTCAACTCCTTCCAACTCACTAACTGCCAGCTACAGTTCAGAAATATTGAGGAAAATGACCATGGGAGAGTTGTACTAACTCAGAGAGGGGGAAATTTCCAGTCATGAAAAGGTTTAATATTTTCTTTATACATATGTCTGTTTCTCCTAGTAAACTGAGACTCTCTGTGGACACAGACCAGACCTTTTTCACATCTGTGAAAATATACACAACAAAACCCATTCTCATTCAACAATTTCTAAACATAATAATCAGTGACACTGGTTACATATCTTTTCTACGTCTGTATTCCTAATATAAAACAGAATACCTAACCCATAACAGGCACTATACAAAATGTCTGCTGAATAAAAGCTCAACAGTAAACAATTCATAAAAAAAACTTTTAAATACTAGGTAGCAATCATAAAATATGAGGGGCAATTAGAAAATAAGAAAATACATTTCAATAATGAATTCGCCAAGTACCAGAGAGAGGCCCAAAATTTAAGTAAATGGTTGCTAATCTGTAGTTTCTAAACTACAAAGAGAGTGGAAAGATAGTGATGGTGGAGCTCAAGCTAATTTGGACATTTCAAAAATGCCAATGGAAATTCTCCATATCTACCCATGAAAAGATGGCTAACCAAAACACTAAGTTTCTTCTTTTTTTGCCCAAAATAGTATTAGCTCAGTAAGGTAAGATCTTCTACTGATAAAATGCTCTAATAATAATTATATATTATTTTGATTAATTAGGGCTCTTGTTGTACATACCACCCCCCATCGGATTAAGTAAGTTTTAGACACCAGCAAAAGAAAAAAAGAGCAGTGTCAGCAAGTAGAGTATTTGTAGGCTGAGCTACTATAAATCAAAGGCAGCTATCTACTACTAGTTCATCTCTCATCCTTAGCCAATGCCTGCCCATTCCCACCCACCAAATCTAGGTGGATTAACTGCTCTAAATAAACCTACTAGTTATCGTAATTTAACAAACTGACACATCAAAAACAAAACCAAACCCACTGCTGTCGAGTCGATTCCGACTCATAACGACCCTAGAGGACAAAGTAGAACTGCCCCATAGGGTTTCCAAGGAGTGGCTGGTGGACTTGAACTGCTGACCTTTTGGTTAGCAGCCAAGCTCTTAACCACTGTACCACCAGGGCTCCAACTGATATACAAGCATAGGAATTTACAACAGAAAAATTACCTCTCGAACTTCATCATCTTCTTCATTAGTATTTCTTTGTCTGCTTTCTCTGAAATGACGTACCTAGATCATAACAAAGTAAATCACAAACATGTCACTTATTCCAGTTTTATAAATATAAAATAAGGGGCTACAATTGATTAAGAAATGCTTTCCATTATAACATAAAACTTGGAAAATTCAGATATAGTTTTAGTTCACAAGAGATTGATAAAAGAAGCCAAATTTTCCCAGTGACTTACATTAAAATTTCAAAAATGTACCCTAGAAAATAAAAATATACTGGCTCTGAGCAAAATTATACTACCTGTTGCCAAAATGTACTACGTCACTAAAAAATAGTCTGTCAGGCAGCAGAGAGAAAAAAAGTCTAATATGCCATGAGTGTTATACTTCAGGAAAATAGTTAAAAACAAAATCCACTCTCCTTTAAGAGGTTTGAAATATTTATTACACTGCTCAAAACATTCCTGGGCATCTGGCTGCAAGACAGGGTGGAGGTCCTCTGAAATGGTATCTGAAGTAGTGAACCTGTCATGGATTGAATTGCGTCCCCCAAAAATGTCTGTCGGCTTGACTGGGTCATGATTCCCCATATTGTATGACTGTGTAATCTGATGTGATTTCCTTATGGGTCGTAAACTCTATCACTATGATGAGGTTATACTGATGAGGTCTACAAGACTGGATAGTGTCTTAATCCAATCTCTTTTGAGATATAAGAGAAGGGAACACAGACACAGGGGGACCTCGTACCACCAAGAAAGCAGCACCAGGAGCGGAGCGCGTCCTTTGGACCTGAGGTTCCTGCACTAAGACGCTCCCAGACCAAGGGAAGACTGAAAACGAGAACCTTCCTCTGGAGCCAACAGAGACAGAAGGCCTTTCCCTGGAGCTGATGCCCTGAATTTGGACTTGTAGCCTATTAGACTGTGAAAGAATAAATTTCTCTTTGTTAAAGCCATCCACCTGTGGTACTTCTGTTAGAGCAGCACTAGATGACTAAGATGGGACCCTAAAGATCCATTTTTATTAACTGCCACATATTGAATGTTTACTGCTTGTTGACCATGGTCCAGGGACTGTGAGGGATAAGAGGTTCCTTTTTTAATGGTTCCTGCTCACAAGGCTCTTATAATAGAGTTAAGCAGTTGGAGAGATAAATGCCATTTATGCAATAATTTATTTAACAAATATTTACTGAGCACCTACTGTGTGCCAGGCACTACTGTAGGAACTGACATTACAACAGTAAATAAAAATAGTAAAAAAATTCTGCCCTCAAGGAGTTTATAATCTAGAGGAGTGTGGGTGAAAGAATGGCAATAAACTATATTTTAGGGGTGTAGGGTTGAGTTTGAGGTCCCTGGGTGGTACAAATGGTTAAGTACTTGACTACTAGCCAAAAAGGTGGTCTATGAAGATGTCTATGAAGATTTAGCACTTAGCACTTTTGGTGTATTACACACCACCCAGAGCACTATTAGTGAGTCCCTGCCTAGCACAAACGATTAAGCTTCCAGCTACTAACTGAAAGGTTGGTAGTTCGAAACTACGCAGAGGCACCTTCGAAGACAGGCCTGGTGATCTGCTTCCAAAAGGTCACAGCCTTGAAAATCTTAAGGAGCAGTTATACTGTACACACATGGGGTCACTATGAATTGAAATGGACTCAATGGCAACTAACAGCAACGACAACAGGGTCAAATTCGAAGTCTCTGGCTCTCCATAACCAGTTTTTTGGCAGATGGTTTTCAACCTGCATAACTGGTTAGACAGCAGGGCTTGATTATGTGCCCAGAGGGGCATAAAAGACCCTTGGGAACTTCTGCCTTGACCTCTCCAGAAGGCATCTTCTGGCAAAGACCTGAGGAGCTTATGCTTGTATGCCTTTCAGATCCCCAATGCTTGCCTGCACTCTTTTTCTTGCTGTACTCTGTCCTTTGCCTTTAAATAAAAGCCTTAAGTGAGTAAGGTCAGTGGAGTCTTTTGAGTCCTTTCAAATATTGGAACTTGTGAAATCTTTACAGAAGGTGATAAGTGCTCAGAGAAAAATAAAGCAGGAAGAGGGATAGAACATGCTGAGGGAGGTTGCATGTTAATAGGATGATCAGGAAAGGCCCGACGCAGAAACTAATATATGAGCAAAGACTTTAAGAGATAAGAAATGAATCACGCAGATAATGGGCAAGATCAATCCAGTCAAAGGAAAGAACACGTACAAGGGCGCTGGGGGCAGAAGTATGGTGGTGTGTCTGGGAAACAGGAAGGAGCCCAGTGTGGCTAGGGCAGATATGAAGGTAGAGAAATAATGGAGAGTCAGACTGAATAAGGCTTGTCAACAACTGTGAGAGCTTTTTTCTATTTTTAAACAAGAATGAGCTGAAATGTGCTAGGTTCACTGACAGATGAATTGAGGACAGAATGGGGGAAAAGGAAGAAAAAGGGTAGAAGCAGGGAGACCAGTTTGGAGGCTAGGCGAGAGATGGTGCTGGCTGGGATCACTGGTAGTGATGAAGGTTGTAAGAAGTTAGTCAGATTCTGTAGACACAGTGAAACCTGTGAGAGTCGGACTCAATGAGACCGCCTTATTTTTCCAGGTCTCAAAATTTGATGCCTTTGACAAGAAGAAGTCTTACCACTTTTCTATCGCTCCTTTTAGTGGGAAATATTTGAGTTTTTCTTCTCTGACAGGTTTCTGCCTTACACAGGTTCTGGCTTTCACTGGTTTTACTGTATTCTGACAGTCACGATGTAGGTGACAGAAAAAAAAAGGAGCCAAGGACGCCTTTAAGGTTTTTGCCTTGAGCAACAGAAAGAATGAGGATTCCACTAGGTAGAGCAGGTCTGGGGGCAGGGAGTAGGGACTCAAAGTTCAGAGTGGAGCATGTTAAAAGTTTAAGATGTCTACTAGACATCCAAGTTGAAATGTCCAGCAGTTCAGAGGAGAGGTCTGGGTTAGACTTCTGAGAGTCACCAATGGACTGGATGAGATTACAAGGGTAATGTGTAGACAAAGAAGAGGTCCAAGGAGTGAGTTCTGGGGACTCCAACTTAAGAGGCTGAAGAGATGAGAGGATTCAACAATAGAGACTGAGAGTAGGTGAGGCAGGAAGAAACCTTCAAAAGTGTGGAGTACCGGAAGCCAACGAAGAAATGATTCAAGAAGCAGTCAGATTAGATTTAAGAACTGACACGGGACTTAGCAATGAAGGTCACTGGGGGCTTGGATAACAGCCACTTCCCTGGAATGACAAAGTCAAAAGCCTGATGGATCAGTTTAAGAAAGAGAGAAGGGAGAAGAATTAAGGGCAGCAAATACAGAAAGGTCTTTGGAGTAGTTCTGCTGTAAAGGACAACAAAGAAACAGAGTAGTAATAGCTAAAGGAAAAAGTGGGATCTAGAGTTTCAGCTGTTCTTTAACGTAGGAGAAATAACAGCATGTTTGTTATTATTCAGTAGAAGGGGGAAACTAGAAATAATTTTTTTTTAAAGATTACATAGTATGCAATAGTGCTTTAAACCAAAACCAGTTACTGTTGAGTCAATTCTCATTCATGGTAACCCCATGTATTTCAAAGGAGAACTACATTCCAGAGGGTTTTCAACGGCCGTAACCTTTTGGTAGCAGACTGCCAGCCCTTTCCTCTGAGGTGCCTCTGGGTGGGTTCGAACTACCAACCTTTTAGTTAGTAGCCAAGTGTTTAACGGTTTGTGCCCCTCAGGGTCTCAAATAATGCTCTAGGTGATGTGTGATACCAAAAGTGTTAAGTATTAAGTCTTGAGAGAAGAAGAGAAATAACAAAGTAAAAATACTAGTAACACTTACTGGGCAACCACCCTGTAACAGGGACTATGCTGAAGACTTTGCATATATTCTTTTAATCCTTACAAGAACCTTAAAGGAAGTTCTATTACTATCCCCTTTTTACAGTTGGCTGAGGAAACTCAGGTACAGAGAGGTGAAATAACTACCATAGCCAATGGTCACACGGTTAGGAAGGTTTTGATCTTGAACACAGGTGGTGTGGTCCAGAGCCCATGCTCTTAGCCACACACACACAGACACAGACATACACACACACACACACCCCTGCTCTCAGGAGTCATGATGTGACTTAGGGTGGGGATGGTCATGTTTTATTTCTGCTACTTCACTGAAAAATCCACCCATGCTAAAAAATTATGAACGTATCACATTCAAAGTCATAGAGTGAATGATTTTAAAGTGTGGATTACCAGCCCTAATCCTGAAGGTACCTGACACTGACTAATACTAGTTGCAACTGACACCATAAAGCTTCAAGAGAGCCATGTTAGCTAAAAGCACTAAAATGAAAGCCAAAGGAAGTAAGTTTTGAGAATAATGTTGTTCTGTTCTTCTGTTTAGAAGGAATATGAAAAACACAGAAAATGAACATAACCTCTGCTAATATGTTTGGAATATTTTCTTCCATTTTTTATACGCACACACACATACACTCACACATACTAAACATGTTAAACATAACAGCGATCATGCTGTTTATAATCTTGCATCTTCAGAATTCTTTTCCCATTTAACACTATATTAGAAACATTTTTCCATGTTCTTCAAAAGTGTCTTTGTTAATGGCTGCATAGCATTCTATATTGTGTATGTACCAACATTTATTTTACCAATACATTTCCAATTATCCCCCACTGTGGATAACTAAGATAAGTTACCCTACAAACAAATCTCTGTCTCACTATTTCCTTATAATAATCCCCCAGGGCTGAGTTAAAAAGTAAAATTTAAGCCTCTTGATATACACTGCCAAACTGCTTTTCAATCAATCTCCTACCAGCAGTGTATTAAATATTATTTTTTTCAAATTGTTGCCAATTTGACCAATTAAAAAATAGGTTTGACTTTCTTTGATTACCCTAGACTAAATATCATTTTCATATGCTTATAAGCCACTTCTTTCTTTTGTGAACTGTCTATTTATATTCTTTGTTCATTATCCTATTGAAATGTTTAGTATTTTCTTAAGACTAATATGGGCTCTTTAATATTGTGTTAAGAATATTAACCTTTTTTCTGCCCATATTTGTTACAAATATTTTCTCTATGTCAAACTTTTAATTTTGTCTTTTGACAATTTGACATGCAAACACTTAAAATTTCTATTTAGTAAAATCTGGAGTTTTCCCTCTGTGATTCTTCCACTGCTTTTATGCTTAGAGAGAATGCATTTTCTAGATTAAACTCAAAGTATCAATCAAAGCCTATTAAAAAATTGAAATGAGTAGAAATTTCCATCCAATAAGGTTCATTTTAAAGCATTTTTGGGATTTTCAAGAGAAGATAGTACCTACAAGGAATAAAACTAACAGACTATTCCAGATGTTTTCCAATTTAATCCTCATTGTATTATCCCAATTTTATAGATGAAGAAACTAAACAAATCAGAGAAGTTAAATAATGGTTTAACAGAAAGAAACTCAGAGCTATGCTTAAGGAGAGACTTTTGAAATAAATCTATCCACCCCCAAATTAGTTACCTACCTCTTCATCGATCTTGTCTTCTACAGCATCAATATGACGTTCTTTAAGAAATCGCTGTGTTTTTTCCAACTGGTATTTCACTAATTCCTCTATGGCATCTTTTTCTTCCTTGTCCACAAATTCTTGTACTGCTTCACCCATTCCCCTTTCTGTTAGAAGTGAGAGTTGCACATTCTATAAGAGAGACATAAATCACTAAATAAAGAAAACAGTATCTTTTGCTTAAAAATAGTTGTACATGAACAAGGAAAATTATAGGATAATATTACCAGGAAAAAAAGGCAAAAATTTACCTAGCTATTGAAGGAAAAATAAATAAATAATGATTTAGTGAATACTAATTAAATCTACCAATAAATATTGAGGGCCAGAAAAAGCAAAGTCAAAACAAAAAAAAGGAGGAAAGAACAGAACAAGTGAAAACAGAGGCCAGAGTGGCTGCGACACAGAGACCAGAATGGCAGCTAATAATTAACAGAAACTGGGTTTAGTTTCTATCCGGCTCCCTACAGATGGCCCCCTTGATGTTTCTATTAGGGCCCCTAGGAAGAATACTGGCCCCCTGAAGATGTCCACATTCCAATTCCCAGGATCTATGAATATGTTACATGGCAAAGCAGAATTAAAGCTGCAGATGGAGTTAAAGTTGCTAATAGCTGACCATAAAATAGGGAGGGCAGGGACTATCAGGGGGGAAGAGGGAGTCAGAAGAGGAAAGCCAGGGGGAGATGTGACTATGAAAAGATGGGCAGAGAGGTGCAACTTTGCTGGCTGTGAAGATGGATGAAGGGGGCCATGAGCTGAGAAATGTGGGTGGCCTCTATGAGCTTAAAAAGACAAGGAAATGGATTCTCCCCTAGAGCTTCCAGGAAAGGAACACAGCCCGGCAGACACCTTGATTTTAGTCCAGCGAGACCTGTGTCAGACCTCTGACCTACAGAACTATAAAATAATAAATTTGTGTTGTTTGAAGCCACTAAGTTTGGGGTCATGTGTTATAGCAACAATAAGAAACTACTACAACCAGAAGGACTTAGAGTGCTACAAATCCACGACAGCAAGTATGAGTGGTTTCCTCATCACGCGGCTATAGTGTATTAGTAAAGTAACCGTGAAACTACATCCGGATGCGAGAAAATTAAACCCTGGATTCAGATTTCTCTAGTAGAGATAAAAGAAAGTAAGAAGGTAACAACATCAACAAAACAGCCACACTAATAACAATGTTCATAACAAACCTTAATTAAGTGCTGATTTTCCCCAGTGTGCAACAATTATAAATGAATATAATTAAGTCACCCTATTTGCTTCATAGAAACAGTGTAAGAATTCATTTTGTTTAAACTATCAATTAAACGTATCTTAAATTAAAATCTGTTATTATAAGATAGCCATTGTTAAAGTGTGAGCTATAATTAAGAAATTACCTTCTCTGCGGTTTGAAAATACTGTTTTACAAGGTCTTCCACCCTTAGAGTTGTTCCTTCTGAAGAAGGTCTTGTGATAAGTTTCCCGACGTTGATCTCTTCTCCTAGAAAAAAGTTCATCAAAAAACAGTATCTTGTATTATGTTACAAACTTGTTGTAGATTGCTTCAATGGAGGAGGTACGGCACAACTTTTATCAATGGCCAGCATGGTCAACGTGGTAAATTTTGAGGCAAAAACAAGCCATTTTTGCTAACAGCCACAGTCAGTACTTCTTCTTCTTATCACCAAGTAGCATGTCTAGTCCAGCTGCTCTCAAAGTGTGATCCACAGCCCTCTGGGGTTCACCAAGACCCTCCCAGGGAGTCTGTGAGGCCAAAACTATTTTCATAGTAATACTAAGACATTATTTGCCTTCTCCTCTGTATTAACATTTGCAGTGAAGATCCAAAAACAATCATGAGTAAAGCTGCTGGCATCTTGGGATGAGTTAAGGCAGTGGCACAAAACTGTACTAGTAGTCACCACCATGTACTCATATTTAAAAAAAAAAGAATGTCCTAGATGACTGTAAAAGTGATTAACTAAATCTCGGCCCTTGAGTATGTACCTTTTTAACATTCTGTGAGACAAATGGGAAGTATGCATAAAGCACTTCTGCTGCCTTGTTAAGTAGGATGGTTGTCTCAAGGAAAAGTAGTTTGCAGCCACTTGAATTGGGAGCTGAACTAGCTCCTTTTTTTCAAGGAACGCCATTTTTATTTGACAAAAAACTGCTAGACACACTATGGTTATTCATACTTGGGTAACTTGGGTCACTTCAAGGAAAACAACAGTGTTTCTTGCCAATGATAAAATTCAAGCTCTCAAGCAAAAATTAGAATTTTGGAAAATTTCTATCTGCTGAAAGCTTGATAGCTTTCTAACATCCAAAGACTTTTCTGATGAGACTGATGGCAGTATTTCTAAGTGTGATCTTTTGATCTTACGTAGTCAACATGTGGACCAAGACCTGCAAAACTCAGTAAACCACTGTTTTCCAAATGACCAATACATGATGTTATAAAATCTTGCATGGGTAAGGTCTGTTTAAAGTAAGAGAGAATAATGAACTTTAATATAAGAGTATGAAAAGTCACACTGATATTGTACAGATTCCTTGTTGCAGCTCACCTTTAAGAAATTACCACTTACCGAGTTTTGCTATAATATCGAAGAGAATCCACAGTTATCTGAAAAGGCTATTAAAATATTCCTCTTTTCTCCACCTGGAGTCCCTGGGTGGTGCAAACAGTTAACATGTACGGCTGCTAACCTAAAGATTGGTGGTTCAAATCCACCCAGAGGCATCTCGGAAGAAAGGCCTGGCGATCTACTTCCGAAGTATTAGCCATTGAAAACCTTATGGAGCACAGTTCTACTATGACACACATGGGGTCACCATGAGTTGGAATCAACTCAACAGCAATTGGTTTTTCTATCTTTTCTGTTTGAGGGAAGACTTTCTTCATATATTTCAACCAAAACAACATATCACAATGTTATTTTGGCAGTCTCCAGTGGACTGCCTCCAGCCAGGCACCTCCCCTTGGGCTGCTTTCCTGGCACCCCCAGCAGCTTTGCAGTGAGTTGTCCTGTCAACAGCTTCCCCTGGCACACCCTCTCAGACAGCTTCACGGATGAGTGTCAGTGTTGGAGAAGGCTTCCTCCAGCCCACCTCCCTCCCCACTTGGGAAATCAGTTTCACAGTGGAGTGCCAGTGGCTAGGCGCCTCATCTTAGACTTCTCGGATGTCTCCTCTGACAGCTTGGCAGTGAGTTCTGCAGGAAGTTCCTCCAGCACTCCAGATGCTACGTTAAGATAACTGACCTTTGGTATATTACCTAATCCTCACAACAATCCTATGAGGCAGAAGAGGCCTCAGAACATTTTACAGATGAAATACAGAAATTATCCTGATTTAATAGAAGAGAAAACTAAACATCAGAGAGGTTAAATAATGTATACCAAGTCATACATCTAGTAAGTGGCAGAGATAGACAAAACATTAGAAGATGCTTTTACTAAAACATACCAAAATCACTGTGTCCATGGAGCCATTTACGTTTAAACCAAAAATGAAGCACTAGCATAAAACTCACTTTCACTATGGCTGAAACCTAAGTAAGATAAGGTACTAGCTCTGTAGTCTGTATTCTTATGAAGGCTGTTGAGTTGATTCTGACTCATAGTGACCCTGTAAGACAGAGTGGAACTGTCTCATAGGGTTTCCAAGGATCGGCTGGTGGATTTGAACTACTGACCTTTTGGAATTAACAACATACCCAATTTCTGGTCACAATTTGATATTGCAAATATAAGCCTATTAAATATGGGTTTATAAAAACCTAGGTAGCTTACCTGTAAATAAGGCCGTGTTTTTCTACAAAAATTCTCTGATTCAATAGTTTCAAAGAGAAGAGCCTCTATATTTAGATCAGTATTTTTTATGAAGCACTAAGTTGTATGACCTTTTTTGTAAATGTATGAATAAGAGCAATTACTGTGTGTGAAACTTAATTGGAAATTAATTACCTGGATCATCAGAAACATCAAGGTATGAGACACCACTTATTTCCAAAGACTCAAGTCTTCCTAAATAACTGTACTCTCTAAAGTTAAAATACTTAATAATACAAAAATTGAGAGTATGTTCTCTGAACATTTATAATATACAGTAAATAATTTATTTTGAGCAATAAATCTCTAAAATCTTTGTGTTGAACAGAACTCTTTTAAAAAACTACCTTAGCAGGGAAGGCCTTCCATTTCCCTACTAATGTCCCCAGGTTTAAAATAATTGCTATCTAATTTTTAGAAGGCAAGAGATTTAGTTATTCCAACTATCAGTTTATTTGTCAAAGATATTAAGAAACATACTAAAACTTCTTCCATTATTTTTATACTTCTTTTTACAGAAGATTGATTTACATGAACGCTATAAGAGCATCCTTTAATGTACAAAATTAAAATTAGCTTACCTGTTTTTTCCTTTTGTTCTCTATGCCTGAAAAAATGGATAATGTCTTTTGGATTGGCTACACGATCCACAAATTTCTGGCTAAAACGAAGCACACTGAAAGGTTCAAAGCCTCCACTATAGTCCACCTGGAATACAGAATATGCTATAAAGGATGGGAAACAACAGTTGTCTACTTTTTAAGAAACATACTCATCCTTCAGTGTTTATAGTGCTTATGCTCAATATTTTTAAATTAACATGTTAATTTTCTACAATACATTTTAAAGATCATGATGAGATTACACCATTTATTCTACTGAGAAATATTTAAGTTTGGAAGACCTCTAAGCTGAAGCAAAATATTGTGTTCAGTGGAATCAGGATACAGCAAAAATTTCCACAAAGTAGGGATGATTACAACTCCCCATGACCACACTAACAGTCTCGGCACCAGGGGTACCATCTGAAAAGGAGGTGAAGAAATTCTACATGGATTTCTAAACTTTCAAAGCAAAACAAAAATCCCCCACCAAAATAAAATAGGTGCCATCCACTCATTACTTAATTGGTCTATTATCATAGAGATACATTCTCACACTAGATAAGGATGGATTCTGGGAAAGTCCATGTAGAAAAAGAATAAAAATTGTGAGCTTTGAGAAATGACTATCTTTAAAGCACAGTATCCATTTAGAATTAACACTCTCTCTCAAGCAGGCTCTTTCTAAAGAAGTCTATAATGGTAAACAGACCTTTATAAAGAGAATTACCACATTTCTTTCTAAGGGATACATTTTCCTAAACTAGCAGTTCTCAAAGTGTGCTTTCTGGGAAGCAGCACTGTATCACATTATCTCCAAGGAGAGGCCAGTCAGTCTGTCTGCTTAGTCTCTCAAAAGTGCTTCCTAACCACCACCCCACTTACATTCTTCATCACACTTAGCACTATCTGAAATTTTGTTCTTTGACTTGTTATGTGTTTATTACATCTCTCCTCATGCTCCCACCTTCTGGAAGCTTCACGAGTTCAAAACCCTGTTTGTTTTATCATCACTGTATCCCCCAACATCCAGAACAGAAAGTACGCCATAAAAATTTATTCAATTAATTAATGAATTAATGAGGATGCTCTAGCCCATACAACATACTTTCATAATATTACTTACATAACAATATCTATTTTTTTCATTTCAGGAATGAATTAGTAATTTACTGTGGTTAGCAAAGGAATGCCAATCTTCTACTTAAGTCTGGTTAGTTCTGATGGTTATCAGGAGGGTATTAATAAGGAACATGGGATCTTTTGCCTTGGTAAAGAGGACTGACTATATGGTTCCCCCAGAGTAACTATCTTTGTATTACCCAGACCACTGCGACAGCTCTCATATTGTAAAAAAGAAAATGCTGAGTGCTGAAGCTATTGGGTTTCCCCAAAAATCTTCAGGTATTTTTAACAATTGTACTCCAGTCTAACTTTACTTGCAATTTTCTGCTCCTAAGAGTTGAAAAAGTAGCTCTGGTGGTGCAGCAGTTAGGTGCTCAGCTACTAACCATAAGGTCCGCAGTTCGAACCCACCAGCCACTCCGCAGGAGAAAGATGTGACAGTCTGCTTTCACAAAGATTTACAGACTTGGAAACCCTATGGGGGCAGTTCTACTCTGTCCTACAGGGCTTCTATGAGTTGGAATCAACTCAACAGCAATGGGTTTTTTTTTTTAAGAGTTGAAAAACTCATTCATTAAACAAACATTTACTGAGTATCTACAATGTGCTAGGAACTCTGCTGAGGGCTAAGGATACAACCATATACACAACGCAATGACAGCTGTCAAGAAATTCACAGGCTGACAGGGAGGACAAACACGTACATAAATAACTGCAAGCAGAATGTGAACAATGTTATAAGCATGTACAAAGTAGAATGAGGACCCAAAGGAAGAAGCAATCAATTCTGACTGGTGGGCAAGAAAGGTTTCTTTGGAGAGAGCAGGCTCTGACTGGGTATTGAAGGAGATATACAGAAAGAAGGAGGGAGATGCCTTCCTTGCAGCAGGACCAGCATGAGCAAATGTGCAAAAGAGTGAAATAAGCCCCACTGGACTCAAGGAACAGTCATTTTTAGTCCAATATGACCAGAGCTTAGGAGGTACTGACAGGAAAAGGAGAAAGGAGCCAAAAAGGTCAGTTTAGACCACATCGAGAAGACCCAAAAGAATTTAGACTTGTTCCTGCGAGTGCTATGGGATCATTAAATCATTTTTATCAGGAAAGATATGAAAGACGGGGTTTTACAAAGATCACTGGCATTAGTGTGGAAGACGGTTTGGCCAGAAGTGGGAGGAGAGGGAACTGGGAGGAGAGTCCAGGTGAGAAGCAGCAGCTATCAGCCAGGTAAGAGGTAACGAGGGTTCAACTACAGCACTGACACTGGGATAGAGAAGGGACAGATGACCTACTCCGCACCAGGTACTGTTTAATTCATTTACTTCATAGCCCTAAGAAGTCAGTACAAACCGTTGGACAAGAGATTCAATTGCTCAAGGTCATATAGCTAGTAATAGAGTCACAGCCAAACCCAGGCAGTCTGCATCCAGACTATCCTCTTTCCATACTATATACCCTCTAAAGTATAGTGCTTCCCAAATTCTAGCTGAAATTTTAATTCTAACTTTAACACAAATCCTTCAAGGATCTTGTTAAAATACAATTCACCGTGTATGACATGGGGTCTGAGATCCTATATTTTTAACAATTTCCCAGGTGATGCCAATGCTGCTGGTTTGAGGACCATAGTCTTAGACTACCACCAAGGGTCTAAGGGACCCCTAGCTACACAGGTAAACAAAGGGGCCTAAACTGGAGATACAAATTTGGGAGTCATCACTATATAGATGGTAGTTAAAGCTACATGCGTAGAATGAAAAGAGGGCTAAGGGATAAGAGGGGATAAAGATAAGTTAAAGAAGGCAACGCCAAAGAGTGATTCAGTCAGGTAGGAAAAAAAAAATCGACTTGATTTGGCAACTGAAGGTCACCTTTGCCACCCGATATGATGGGGTCAGAGCATTGATTATAGCGGACTGAGGAACAGAATGGTTGGATGCGTACAGGCTATCTACTTTGAGGGGTTTGGGTTAGGAAAAAAACTGAGAAAGATAGTAGGTGCTAGAAGGGAAAAGCACAGGGGCAAAAAAGAGGATTATTGTTTTTTTTTTAAATCACAGTGGAAAAGATAAGAAAGTTTATGGGCATAAGAAACAATTCAAGTTCTTAGACATTTTTAATACTCTCAAATACTTATTAATTCCTTCAACATCTTTAGCAAGCATCTACCATATGCCAGGAACTCTTCTGGGATCAGGAGCCTCGACAGCGCAGTGGTTAAGAGTTCGGCTGCTAACCAAAAGGTCAGCAGTTCGAATCCACCAGCCGCTCCTTGGAAACCCTATGGGGCAGTTCTGTTCTGTCCTATAGGGTTGCTATGAGTTGGAATCACCTTCATGGCAACGGGCTTGGTTTTTTTGAGTTTGGTTCTGGGATCTTTGGACACATTAGTTAACAAAATTCACAAAGCTTCATACTTTCATGGGGCTTGCAGTTTTGTAATTAAAGCAAATAGTGACTAAAATAAATAAACTGTCATATAGTAGGTTAGAAGGATGAGTGTTATGAGGGGGAAAACAAGCAGAGGAGGGTAAATGAAATCCAGAGTGTTGGAGAGAAGGTATGCAGGGTGCAATCTTAATTAGGGTGGGGTCTCACTGAGCAGATCTGGAGGAGGTGAGAGTATGTCTGAGGAGCTGCAAAAAGACCAGGGTGGCTGGAACAGAATGAGAGGAAGGAGGGTGGTCAAAGGTGAAATCAGAGATTTTATCTTGCCTATTAAACATATCAAAAGACTACTTAGAAAAAATAAATAACTAAGATAATAATAAGCTATCAACCCTAACAATATGAGTATTAATTGTTTAATGTGAAACTAATTTGCTCTGTACACCTTCATCTAAAGCACGATAAAAAAATTCTAAAAAATCAAACCTATCAGAATTAAACTATGACTAAATCAAATCCTTAGTGTTTTCTTATTTTTGGCCTTCCAGTGGTGATTGCTCTTCTTATTACTATATGCACTCTCCTTACTACTTTTCAGAAAATCCATATAAAGTATACATGGCTATCCTTTGAAAATCAATGGAACTTTAATTTACAGAAATAGGACTTACTCGCAGTCGTATGAGAGGCTTCTCTGGCTGTCGGGAATTTCCCAGACGTTCCCGTTCAGCATTTTCAAGCATTTCTTCAATCTCAAAACAAAAATATATAAAGATTAAAAAACAAAATATTAATTTTAGTTTAAATTATCTGAACAGAAGCTCATATTCCTTTATAAACTACAGGAATCTCCTAAACCACAAGATCACCTTTGTTTCCTAGTTCATTTCTAACACCTTTTTAAATATACCTTCTTTTAACATTCCCGTTAATATCATTCCTTAGTGATTTTACTTCATCAGAGTTCTTAATACAGTTTTTCAATCTCTAAAATTAATATTTTAGAGAAGAACTTAAAGCATCACTCCTGTGCAAAGTTTCTACTTGTTTCAATATGGATTCCCTCATTCTATCAACTTAAAACCAAATAAATCTAGTCTCTTTAGACACATAGCCAGAGGAGACTGACCAGAATATCTGGCGATCTATAAACAAAAGATCTTGATCATTTACCCAGAAGTTCAAGTTAAAAGAAAATGAGACCATTGTTTTCAAATATCCGAAGCTGTCTCATGCTAAAGGATAAAAACACTTGTTTAATCTTGTTCCTGAGGACAGAACTAAGTTACAAGGAACCAGATTTTAGCTTCTACACAAGAAACTTCACAACTAGAGTTGGTTCATCTACAAAACTAGCCATCTGAAGGTATCTAATTAGTATTCAAACAAGTATTTCTGAAAAGGATTTCCGTACTCAGTGAGATGTTAGATTTCTTGGATCTCTTTCAAGTCTAAGATTTTATAATCTTGTCCTTTAAGTTACTATCTATAACAATGCTGTGCAACAGAAATTTCTGCGATGACAGAAATGTTTTATATCTGCAGTGTTCAATACGGATGTCATTAGCCATATGTGGCTACTGATGACTTGAAATGGGGCTAGTACCAGTGAAGAACTAAATTTTTAATTTAACCTTAATTAATTCAAATTAAAACAGCTATATGTGTTACTGTATATATCATATTGGACAGTACAGGTCTATAAGAATAAGATCTACTAGGCCAATTGTTTCAATTTAACATGCATTTCTAGAGCACCTACTTTTTGCCAGGTTCTAGGTTAAGTGCTAATACAAGTTTTACCCGAAAGTAGAGCATTCCTATGAAACCCTTCATAAGCAGAAATGGCATAAAGTGAAGAAGTAATTACCATTACCTTACATGGGAAAACTCATACCAAGTAACACATAAAAACTGAAATAACGCTAACATGTAGTAAAAGCTGAGATGCTGAGTGTAGGAAGAGGCTTGGTGATGCCACTTTCGTGGCTTGAGGTACACACTGTCTCTTTAAGGGCTCACTGCAAAACAAATGCTGGACGCTATTTCCACTTTTCCTCCTTTTTCTTAAAAGCGAAAATCCTCTTCGGATTTCTCTCGGTTAGTGAAAACAGGTACTAATGTAGATCTTTTGAAAAAGCGAAGTGACATAAAACAAACTTTCAAAAATGGGGGACACTTGTATAGAAAAGTAAGATATGGGCCCTATCCTCAAAGAGTTCAGAAGAGACTCACGTGCATATAACATAAATTACCTTCTCCAAACAGAAGCTTTGTATGGCTTGAGTTACTTTAGGATTATCTGGGTTAAAAAGGTCTGGATGACGAGCCAGAACGACGTCTTCCGTAAAAAACTGCCGTACTGTGTGAAGAGGAATTTTCTGCATGTTCATCTTTCTCCCCTTAATACGCAGCAAACCAACATGCCTGAAATGACAAGGAAAAGAAAACCTAGTCAACACTGTACATTTCCTACCATATTTATAACTCAGTTTCTACAAAATATTTCTTTATAAAATCATACCCTTAAAATAAATGTTTTTGACAATTTAATCTTAAGGTTATATCACGGAGAAAAAAAAAGTTAACATTCTTCTTCCCCAGAATAAACTCCACTTATTCCTCATTTCTCCTGTCTGGACAAACATACAGTCTATTAAGGGAAGACAGAGATAACAATAAGTATAATAAAATGTTATCAGGACTATGATAGTAGTATATATAGACTCATTACATATGTATGTATTATGTATATATATACATGGGACAGCACTATATATAGAATCCATTGCATATATATGTAATATGTATATATAGGTATATACATACATATATACACATATACATATATACACACACACGAACACATACATACATAAAATGAATTAATAGTGGAGCCACGAAGACAAAGCCACTCTAAAATCCTACCATCATATTCTTTAAACCTATTATTACCATCATAACAATCAGAACTTGAGGGGACTCAAAGGGAAAGATTCATTCTAAATACTGAGTTTAATCACTGTTAACTACTTTATTACATAATTCCTCCTCCCAAAAAAATATTTTTTAATGCGTTATTCTTTAATATTACATTTATAATGAGAAAAGCTGCAATTAAATGATTTTAGGTAAATTTGTTTATAAATGGACTCTGTAAAATTAGTAACCATTATCTACAACACTCTAACTTCAAATTTCATAAACAAAAATGTTAGTCTTGAATTTGCCTAACGAGTAGCAAAACCATTAATAAAAATGGCTTAAAATCTGGTAAAACAGTAAGACTACGCAAGATGATCAACCTTCATAAACAAATCTATCATATAAATAGCAATACCATCAGTGACTTGAACCTATGGAATGATTAGAAGACTAGTGTAACACATATTTCTTTAAAGTGGATTAGGAATATACAATTACTCACTTCTTTACAGCTTCTCCTGGGGAAAGAGAAGTAACCACAGAACTTCCAGGCTGTGACACATAAAAGAGCTGTTGTTCATTTTTGGTTGGAGCTATTTTACACTCATGTTCATGGCCCCAAATAACAAGATCAATGAAGTCATCCAAAAATTGTTCCGGAATGAAGTTAGTGTTTCCGTGTTTACTCCTATACCAAGATTGAAAAAAAAAGAAAGAATATGAATACCTAAAGATATAGGAAAATTTCATATAAAATAAGTCTGTACAGATCTGTCTTTATCTATTCACCGAAGATTTATTACGTCCCTTCTGTGTGCCAGGAGGAGCCCTGGTGGCGCAGTGGTTAAGAGCTTGACTGCTAATCAAAAGGTCAGCAGTTCGACTCCACCAGCTGGTCCATGGAAACCCTATGGGGCACTTCTACTCTGCCCTACAGGATTGCTATGTGTTGGAAGCGATTCGACGGCAACAAGTTTTTTTTTTTATGTGCCAGGAACTGTGCAAGGGATTGGGAAAACAAAGATCATCAGTATCTAACTCCTGCCCTCCAGAGGTTTACAGATCTGAAGGACACAAACAAAAACATAAATGTTAGATGTCTAAAATGCCTGATATACTGGAAGCCCCAAAAGAGAAAGTGGTCAATTCTTCATTTAGAGGTAGGTCATGAAAGGCTTTACGGAGGAGTGACTCCCCATTTGGGAAAGTCCAGAAAGCGTGAGCTCCAGCAATAGTGAAAACCTACAGACTGAACTGACTATACAGAAAATGAAAGTAAGTTAAAACCTAACTTAGTAATATAAAAACAAATCTCTAAAAATATCTCATCATTTTTTAATATCCTCTGTTTCTTTTATTAATTATAAAAACAATGGGAGTGAAAATACTGACCTTACATAAGCGATATGAGTTTTCAATAGTAAATAAAATACTGTATGAATAAGTGATTTGTAAACCCTGGTTTTATACCTACATTCATTGTTATTATTCAAAGACTTGTGAAAACCCAAGGTGAGGGAAGACGAGAGGAAGAAAAAGTTTTCTCTAACATTGACTTATGTTATTGGGAATTTAAGTAAAAGTGTGTAAGTATTTCAACCTAACATTTACTTAACCTGAACCAATATTCATTTACTGATTCAACAAATGTTTGCTGTGTGCCAGGCCTCTTCTAGACACTGGAGACACAGCTGTGAACAAAGTCCCTGCTGTAGTGGGGACTACTAACATTATAGTAATACTATATATATTCGACAGCAGTTATCAACAATAACAACAAATACACACACACATAGATATATACACACACCTATCCCTAGTGGTGTAGTAGTTAAGAGCTTGGCTGCTAACCAAAACAGTGAAAAGGTTGGCAGTTCAAATCCACCAGCTGCCCACTGGAAACCCTATGGGGCAGTTCTACTCTGTCCTACAGGGTTGCTATGAGTTGGAATTGACTCGATGACAACAAGTTGTTTGTTTTGTTCTATATATATATATATGCTTATGATTTCCTTGGGTGGTGCAAACAGTTAAGGCACTTGGCTGTTAAGTAAAAGGTTAGAGATTCAAGTCCACCCAGAAGCTACACCCAGAGGCACCTCAAAAGAAAGGCTTGGCAACTACTTCTGAAAAATCAGTCATTAAAAAACTTATGGAGGGAATAGACCACGTATTAGGCCATAAAGCAAGCCTTAACAGAATCCAAAGCATTGAAATATTACAAAGCATCTTTTCTGACTATAAAGCCATAAAAGTGGAAACCAGTAACAGAAAAAGCAAGGAAAAACAATCAAACACATGAAAACTGAACAACACTTTGCTCAAAAACTACTGGGTTATAGAAGATATTAAAGACAGAATAAAGAAATTCATAGAATCAAATGAGAAT